AGTGGCATCCGGGTGCGGTATCTTTGAGCAAAAGCGTGGCAGCTGCGAGTTGTTTGGGCTCGCGAAGAGGTCGATTGAGTGAGGTCTCGAGCGGCGATTGAGGATGCGGAACCATGGTTGTTTCAAAGAGTAGTCGTCATGGTCGAGCATCTTGGACAGCTCATCGGCATGGGAGATAAGCTCGCGCGGGATCCATTCAACAATTAATCGAGTACCGAGCTCCATGCACGTGCGGATGATGTCCTTGCAAGCGGTGGTGAGGTCAGGGGTACGAGAGCCGCCTTTGCGGAGGATGAAAAAGACCCCTTGGTTGTCCACCCTCACGAGCACGTGTTTTTGCTGAACCTTGTTTGCATACGTTCGAAGGGCCCAAAGGACGCCTTCGATTTCCCTCCGAGTGCTGGACATTATTTGCAAAAGTTCCGGCATGGCTGCGCTTGCTTCCTCAAGTTCACCAGGGAAGGTGAGCAGGGTGGCACCCCAATTATGGGAGTTGGCGTCCACGTGAATTACCGCGTCGTAACTGTTCCGAACGTGGAATGGTGCGCCATTGAATTTGTCAAACTCTTCAAGCCAGAACTGCAACTCTTCCGCGACAGGTGCGGAAATGCTTATGCTGCTTCCCCAGGATGGCGCATCGTTGATTGCTTGTAGCATGGCGTGGCTGAATGCACGAGTCGTGGCACCGAGTGCGACGGCCATTGACGCAAGTGTGCCGGTGACTCTGGCCAGGTGGCGGACTGGGACTTGTCGGCGCGCTTTGCGTGCGCCCAGTAGGTTCCGAATGTATGCGTGCAGTGATGCCCGCCGATCGGCGCCGATGGAGAATTGTCCGGCTTTGGTGTCCAGCTCGACGCCCAAGAATCGCAGACGTTGTGATGGTAACAGCTGCGATTTTTTTCGCGTTAATCACCAAGCCCGACATTTTAAGGTCCGAAATTATCTGCGCGCATGTTGTTTGTGCGTGGGCCTTGGACGTGCATAAGAACAGGATGTCGTCCACATAGGGTATCACCTGAACGCCTTGTTCACGCCAGCGTCTGGCTAGTTGCTTGATGAGCTGCGTGAAGACAAATGGTGCTGTAGCGAGGCCAAAGGGTAGTGAACGGAAGGAGTACGTGCGCCCTTCAAATGCAAAGCCAAGGAATTTCCAGCAAGAGTCGTGTATGTCAATATGGTGGTATCCTGATTTGAGGTCGATGGAGAACATCCAATCTCCCATGCGTGCCAGGTCGGCCACACGGCTTAGGCCTTCGTATTTGAATTTAGGGATGATCAGGTGCGCGTTCGCTTTCCTGAGGTCGAGGAGTAGCCTGCATTTCTCTCGTTGCTCAACCACGTTAAGTGGGCTTATGCATGTGAGTTCCGCTGCTGGAGTGACTACCGCCGCGCCGGTCTCTGTAAGTTCGCGAATGGCAGTGCGTGTGAACGCAGCGTGTGTGTGTGAACTCACCATCTCTCTCTCTCTCTCTCTCTCTCTCTCTCTCTCTCTCTCTCTCTCTCTCTCTCTCTCTCTCTCTCTCTCTCTCTCTCTCTCTCTCTCTCTCTCTCTCTCTCTCTCTCTCTCTCTCTCTCTCTCTCTCTCTCTCTCTCTCTCTCTCTCTCTCTCTCTCTCTCTCTCTCTCTCTCTCTCTCTCTCTCTCGTTCAATCTTTGCAGTTGCTCTTGCTTTTCCTGGTCTCGTGACATGCCCTTTGGCCCGTGGCCAATACGAGGCGGCCCATGCCGGCGAGTGGTGGGGTCGTTTGCTCGGGTTCGTGCGGGTGCTTGCCATTTTGTCGTTCTCTGATTTTTTTTTTTTTTTCTTTGCCATCCAAAGCCAAGATCAGAAAGTACTTCTTTAAAAATAAGCCCTCATAAGAAACGGGCCACACATAGCCATGCTTCCTAGCATGCATCAGCCCCACACCGCATGGGCCAATTTATGGGACCAAGGGCTTGCTAATCCCTCTCCCACCTCCTAGGCCTATAGCCTAATCATCACCCCTAACTAGGGCTTGGCAAATAGCCATCGCAAACCCCTTTGGGTTGCCCACGGTCAACGCACTTGACGTGCACCGTGCCACGCGCGCTAAGGCGCAAACACACAAGGACCATCCCTACACCACGGGTGCGGGTCCTTGGCCACCATTGCCATTCCGCAGACAGCCACTAGCCACATGCCCCGGCTGGCCACAGCGGAAGCACGTCCCACGGAACCCGTGGAAGTTCCCCATAGGCGGGCCACGCTTGGAGTTGAACGCCATCGGCCCGCGTCCTACGCCGCGGTGGGATCGAGGGTGTGTACCCTCTGCGCGATCCATTGCTGCCACATCGGCGACGGCTTGCTTGAAGGGGCGGGAGGTAAGGAGGCTCTTCTGCTGGTACATCTTGAATCGCTTGGCGACGCGATCGTCGGTGGCCTCCTCGACTTGTAGCATTTTGTAGTGCTCCGAAATGTAGTCGAGGGTGCTCGCGACCATTTCAAGTCCGCCCGTCACATCGCCGCGCTGCAGTTTGTACTCCGCGTGCTTCAGGTAGGCCCTCAGGTCCTCGAGGGGCTCCACTTTTGCTCGCACGATCGGATCGATGAAGTTTGCCGCCGAAAAAGTGGGGTTAGTGGAAGGGAAGGGGGGGAGATCTTCCATAGAGGCAAAATTTGCTGCGTTGTTCGGAGCCTCACCAGCGTCGTCGTATGAGTCGTCGGAGTCGTTGTTGACCGCTGCAGCTTCAGGAGCACTGGTAACCGCCTTCTTGTCGTTGCGGCGCGTTGATGGTCCTTTTGCTCCTTCCGCCTTTTTTGCAATGTCGTTTTTAGCCGATGCGGATGCTGCTGGTTGTGTAGTTTCGGCGGCGATCGCGCTAGCGGGGTGCTGCTGTAACAGGGACAAGAGGGCCTTGACTTGGTCCGGGATCAACGCCTCGGTCAAGGCTTGGTCAGCCGTCGCGTCAGACGAGGCGGCCGTACGACGCCTCTGGCGCTGACGCGACGGCCGGCCGGAGGCGTGTGCCGCTGGCGCGTGCTCGGCGTTCGTGGCGTGTGTCGCCACGTTCACCACGGGCGCAACAGGCGCCACTGGCACCACAGGTGCCACTGGCGCCACAGGCGCCGAAGGGTGCTGGGGGTGCTGCTCGGTGCTTTTGTTGACTTCGAGCCCGCCCAGCAGCAAGTCCACGGCGGTCGGGGCGGATGTTTCGCCGTCTGCCCGGCGCTTGTTGCGACGCTCGCCCGTCGTTTCACGGGCGTTACGGTCCTTGTCGGCGATTATCGGATCGTTGGTGACGACGTTGTTAGCACGGTTAAGTGTCGGCGTCGCAGCCATAGTTGCGCGGTTTTGGTTAAGAATGTCGGCTAATAAAGTTGAAGGAGAAACTCCTCTAGGCAACGAGCGATTTCTCGCCAGCATGAACGGTAAAACTAGAAGTGAGCGCGAGAAACTAGAGTTGTATGAGCCGTTGGAAAAATGAGAGACGTGGGTGGAGGGAAATGAGCTCCAACCCACGATTTGTAGTTGGAGAAGGGCGTTTAGCGCGCTTCGACGATGCCAAAACATGCGTTACAAGCAGCTGCGCTTTCGAAATACGTAATTTTGAAAAAACACTTCGTGTGTTTAAAAATTATATCTATCACGGATGATCATAGTACTATCACGAATAGTCACTCGTTGCTCCGCATTTCTATCACGAATGGTCATTCGATGAAACCCTCAAGGAAAGTTGAAACGCCGTGAGCTACTGTGAAAAACTGTAGAGATTTTGAGGAATCTTAATATCGATTGCTTGTTACCTCTCGAAACTTTTCTCGCCTGACATCTAGGGCTGAACAAAGAAAATAAACCCTTATAGTATGGCACACCCTTCGGGAAGCATCAACCATGAAGACCATGTGAAATCCATGCCCTCTTCATCCATGCCCTCTTCATCCATCATCTCCATGCGATCCAGTCAGCAACACGACGAGCGGAACTGAGTCTGAGGAGTCGCCGAGGCGTCTCAGATGTCATGCTCGGGCATGTGTCCACCATGACGCGTCTCAAGGGCATTGTATTGGAATCTTGCTCAGGCTTCACTGCAGAGGGCATCAAACACCTCTATAGGCTGCCACGGCTGGAGACGCTCGACCTCACATGCACAGACGTGTCAGATAGTGCCTTGGAAGGCATTGGGTGGTGACTGATGCTGGTCTGGCACACTTGACAGCTCTCTCCTCTCTCGAGCTGTTGTGGCTTTCTTCGTGCAAGGGTGTGACAAATGCGGGCATGGTGCATGTAGGGAGGCTGACACGGCTTATGCATCTTTGGCTGCATGGCACGGGAGTCACGGATGATGGGCTGCAGCATCGGACTGCCCTGACCAAGCTGAAAAATCTCTCTACAACAGAAGGGGATCGTCTGAGTACAGTAATTAGCACAGGCAGATAGGCAGGCAGGGTGATGATGGAGAGGGAGGTGCAGTGAGGGAGGACGTGAGTATGTCTTGGTAGGGAAGACTGAAGAGAGGCGTGGAGGTAAGGGGTGTGAAGATTGAGGGGAGGATGCATGCGGAGGAGTGAGGCATGGAATGGTGATTGTGCACGGCTGCATGCTGCAGAGAGGTGGAGAATGGTCAGAACTTGTGCCTTTGCAGTTGTACAGCAGCAGGTGCAAGGCTGGTTGGGCAAGAGACCACTCTGTGGATGTGGGGAGGAGGGTGCATGAGCCATACTTGCCTTGCCTGGCTGTGGCTGAAGGAGGCTGTACAGATGCTCTTCACATAGAGGAGAGTGCAGGGCATGTGCATGATGGAATCAAGCTGCTGCACTCTTGTTGTTGGATGAGGTTGATATGGAGGATGCGAGAGGAGGGCACGGAGGGGAGGGTTTGGAGGGGGGGGATGGAGGACGCGCGAGGAGGGGAGGGAGGGGAGGGGATGGAGGTCGAGGGAGAAGAGAAGAAAGACGAGCGGATGGAGGAGAGGCAAGAGAGGAAGGCGAGGCAGGAAACTGACACGGATGTGTGGAGGAGAAAAGAGGCTGCAGTAAAA